TGAAAACTGCAAGCAAAACTCACAGTTCTCCAGTGCAGCAGAGTAGTGCCAGTCTTGCAGGCTTTTTTTTAACTAAGATTATGACTAAAATATTTTCCATAATTCCTCTCCTCACTCTTAGTGTCTTAATGCTTAACAACAACCACTACTATTTGAAACTGCCTTTTTTTCAGCCTGCTGTCAGGAGGAGAGGCCCTTCAGCAGCTACGTGGCATTTGCTTTCCCTCGGGGTAAAAACCTGCCGTGGGTGTCATACACTTTTGGTGCATTATCAGAGTCTGGGATTTGGGCTAGCAACTTCTTTCCCAGGACACATCTTAGCCTCGTCTTGCTGCTTCTTGGCAGTATTTCACCAGCTGCTTGTGAGAAATACAAAATACACAAGGAGAAACAACTGCTCTCCGTGATCAGAGAGCCGCCTGTTCCCTATCGAAATGCTGCTTGCTGAAATATTTTGGGGTTTTCAGCATCAACCTAGTTTTCTTCACACATATGCTACACTCCCACTAATTAAGTCTTATGCAAGTCAAATCGTCTCCAGGAACTTGTACAACTTCATAGTCTTTATGCTCTACTCTCCTGGCACTTCTTCAATCGCGTCGCCTTCAGCAGATTTGCACGTTCTCTGGAACATGATAAATACATTTGCCTTGCTCAGAAGTAAAATTCGGATTTTTCCATAGCTGTGTTCGCTTCACAGCAGAGGAAGAATTGTTGAATAAAGAGACACCATAAGTATCCAGTCAGGTTTCAGAGAAAGTCTCACACAAAGCTAAATCTAGGCCTTGAACTTTTACTAGAAATAGACTGGGAAATAAGTCTACATGCACTTACGAGATGTGGTTTTGAACTTTTTGTATCTTTAAGGATCATGCATATGATTTTTTCAGCTGAATTCTTCCATTTTGAATACCTTCAATGTTACTGTTATTTTTATTAAGATACCAAGGTATCTTAAGTGCTACTGCATAGGGCTAAGTATAGTATCAAAGGACCATTAGACAAAGGGTTGAACTGTTCTGGAATATTTATAACCTTTTAGTTTGTCATGTCATATCTGTTAGGGTTTTAAGAGAAAATTATATTTAGCAGATGTCTTCTTTAGAATTCTAATTCTATTAATTCACTTAAAAGATTGTCTTTGGACTCTGGGAAACAAGCAATGCAAATCCTAACTGTCGACAATCGTGTCTGATATTTTAGTGATTTTTTTAAACAGCTCAGGATGTCGGTGACAGCTGGTCGCGCTCTTCCATGCCCATGAATGGAAGAGCTGGTTGAGCCACAGAGCCCCCTTCCTTGTCTGCCAGGCTGGATGAAGCTGCTCCATTCTGGGCAAAGGGCAGAGTGGAGATCAGATCCTTGGGAGGATCTGATGCCACTTGTGGTCTGGTCTAGGCAAAAACTACTCTCCCAAATGACACTGATTACGTAAAAAGAGATCTAAGAAGTATGTGCTCTGCGGAGAACCTGAACTATTGTGACCGAAATACCCATATTAGGGATCCACCCATCTTCAGCAAGTTGGATGACTTGGGGATCAGTAGTAATTTAGTGGTGCCAGATGCAATCTCAGCACAGAGCCGCTGCCGTGAGTTTGGGTGCTCAGTCAGGCCCCTGTCAGCATGGGGATCTACCCGGAGGCAATCACAGAGCTTGCCCTTAGGCTGCTAAGTAACACACGTGACGAGTGTGAGCGTCTGCTTCCCCAGGATCTCTTCTCTGCTTGGCTCCTAGCGTGTGCAGTTATGTCCTGCTCCTTGCACAGGACACGCACAATTGTAAGTGAGCCAAAATATCTCATGAATTAATGTGTAAAATATTTAAATGCAAGATAGTTTTCCTCTTCGTCAAACATAACAGAATGCAAGGATATTTGAAACATTTTAAGTGCCTCAAACAATATTTTATATCCATTTGTTCATGAATACAAATGCAGACAGTTTACTAGTTTTAACAGCTTTTTTCTTTTCCCAGGGATTTACCAATCATTAATTTGCTGGTTTATATATACATAATAATAATAAATATATATATATATATATAAAATAAATATATTTCTACTTCTTAATTTGGTTTTCAAATGAGATTACTATCTGGAGATTTTATTCTGGTATCAGTAGTGACAAGTTTTGCCCTTTCTTGAAGGAAAAAAAAGAGATTATAGATGCATTAAGCTATAAAATCTACAGCCTACTCAAGCTGTTACTTACGTACGCTACTGCAAAACAATTAGAAGCAAAATATTATATTTCAGCAAATCATCTAGTTGTGAGACATTCTATTAACCGCAAGTGTGTAGTGAGAAGGTTTGGTATAGTTTTAATAGATCATCAAGATAGACAATGTTTGAATGCACATGGTAATCTACATCTTTAAGAATTACAAATAAGACATCTAGGTGCGCAGTACTTAAAAAAGCAGTGAATTTCTTTGCCAGTTGCATTGACAATACCAGATCCTTACACAGCTGAATCTGGCTAAAAGCTCTACTCCCATCGTAATAAATGTGAGAATACAAATACAGCATTCACAGCAGAGATCATTAAGGTTCTGTTCCGATGATTGTTTATTTTAGTGTGCAAACTTCCCCTCCCTCTTCTCCCACTCCCTTCCCTCCCATCTCCCCCCCAAGTTTTTCATATAGAGTGAAAAGCTTATTGGCTCCAGAGTATTCAGGAATAAAAGTTTAAAATAAAAAATTTCAACCTGAAGATAACGAGATGTGTAATGAAATGCAGACTTAGAATAACAGCAATACCTGGTGCTTATAAAGCTGTTTCCATCTTTGTAATCATTTTTTGCACAGTGGAAGAAACCGATATCCACAGCTTGTTGTGCCAAACGCTCTGCAGCAGGGAGCACACACAGAGAAGAGTCCAAACAAAGATCATACAATCAAATCGACTCTTAAAGGTCTTTGGGAATTTGAGGAACAATCTCTGTTTTGGAGACGCAGAACAGAAGGTGAGGCACAGAAAACTTAAGTAACTGTATGCAGAAACACACAGTGAACCAGTGGTAGACTTTGGGTCTGTTGACTCCCCAGCTGCTGAGTTATTCATTGGTCCATGCTGTCCTCTTAAAGAACTAAGAGAAAATCTTTTGAGATACACAATGTGGGCCTGGTACACAGGCTACAGTGTCAAATGCACACAACCTGATTCCAAACCCTTTGGTGCCTGCAGTAATTTACATCAAGAGGGCCTAAAATACCCTCAAATCAAATGGCATTGGTGTAGATGACTAAAATATGCAGTTTAGTAGAGCATCAGGCTCAGAGCAATTAGTTTGTGGCATGCTGAGACTTACACTTTTTTCTGGTGTCAATAGTGACAAGTTTTGCCCTTCCTTGGAGAAAAATAAAAGAATATAGATGCATTAAGCTATAATTAATTATAGAATTAACTGACTTTTAACTTGTAATATATTAAGAATTAACTGACTTTCACCTTGTAATATATTAAGGCTCGATTCCTGTTTATATTAAGGCCTCTCTCCTATGACAGTGTAACGATGCCTTAGTGCAAACGCGACTCAGGCCATTGAAGCACTACCCTTCAGTTCCCTTTGAAATCAATAATTTCAGTGGCCCTAAAGCAATAAAATAACTGGAAGCAAACAACTAGTCTTTATGCCATGGGCTATATACAAGAGGATGGCAAAAGGACCTGAACGCAATCTGAAGGAAAACCAGTCATATTTGTGGAAGAAAAAAAAAGTTAGATGAGACAGACCTGTTTGCCTGGTATTGAACATGGAGAACTGTAGCATGACAATATATCTTTACATGAGGAAAACTGGCTTGATGTCTGTCTTATTTCCAGATAAATAATAGATGCTTATCAACTCTGGAGATCAAGCCATCTTGTTATACTACTGAGATAAAATAGAAATAGTTATTTGGCATTTAAGTGCTAGACATATAGGGCATATTTTGCATAAAGCTAGTGTGTTATAGTCAGAGGTGTAGGAGGATGACCTCAAGCTCAGTAAAATGCTACATGATCACAGATTTCTCCTATTATTATTGTCATTAAAAGCCACTGTATGTTGCTTTCTTAGAATAGGAGTTATCCAACTTGGCTTTGCTGTAGCCCAACATTATTCTAGAAATTCTCTCCTTTCCTAACACTCTGTTCATAACAGTTTTGGCTTAAAACCTTCATTTTTAGAAAACTGTTTAACATTTGCTGGCTTAGAATAAACCAGTCTTTGTTCTCTTTAAATTCAACCCCATGGGTTGCAGCACTTTTTCTTTTAACTTCTAATTAGAAGTAGGTTTATTTTTTAAAGCTAATATGAAATTGGTTTGTGTGAATTAACATAATTTCTCAGGCATCAGTGTGGCTATGACAGTTACCCAGCTGAGGATATGGCCTCCAGAATGTATCTGTTTTGAATATCAGTCAAATAACAGCTGGGTCATATGTGATGTTACACTTAGTTTCATTGGCAATTCAGAAAATATTCAGTAATAAATTTCATTGCTTCTATTCCCCATTTTCATATACAAATAAAATGTCTTTTCTAAAACATTCTTTTTCTTAGTAAGGCTTGCACTCACAGTCATATCAAAAGTGTTTTGGAGAAATCTGTCTGCTTGCTTTCTTCAGTTATCTGTATTATGAAATTCCAAAGCATTATAAGTGGTCAGTAGCAAACCTGCACTTGAGTAAAGAATCACATTAAAAAACTAGAAGGTGAAGTATTTTCATGTCCAAAACTAAGGCAGGATGTACTAAAGTAATGAGCTCATCTGATCCTCACCTAATAAGGCTTGATTTTAAACTGTACTCAAATAAAAAGCCCAGTGGAGGATGTTGTCATGATGATTATTGCGCTTTCTCAGTATCTTGCTATAGGATTATTTTCTTCAGCAATATATAATTTCTTTTCTTGAAGACCACACAAAGTTATTGTATTCTGTAAAAAAAAAAAAAGTTGTGAATTAGACAGAAGGATTAAAAAAAATGCCATTCTGCTTCCCCTGTGTCACAATCTGATATTGTTTCAAAATGATTTTTCTGTTAATTAGATTGGCATAATTTTCGGAACATCTGACGTGCTCTTTGGCGTGCTGCAGGTTTAACAGCTGCACTGTCTTCTGGGCTTTACAGCTTCCTCTGATGAATGGACCACGTTTGGAACGAACCCGCTCTTAACACCTTCCCATCCATCTTGGATTGTGATTTCTCCTTTTTTCACAAGTTCATAGATGTCTCGGGTAAGGATTGTAAAGGACTCTTCGACATTTGTGGCATCTTTTGCTGAAGTTTCAATGTATTTCATACCACAGTCAGAGGACAGTTTTTCAGCCTCTTCTCTTGTAACCTCCCGCTGTGATACTAAGTCGCATTTATGTCCTACTAACAGAAACACGATCTGAAAGGGCTGCACATGCATTTTTGCTTCTTCTAGCCAGTCTTTCACATGTTCAAAAGATCTCCGATTTGTGATGTCAAACACCAGCAAGCCGCCCACAGAATTGCGATAGTAAGATCGTGTTATTGATCTGTGAAGAAAAAGAAGATAAAGGAAAATTAAACTTAAATTACATTTACACTTTATTTGTAACAAAGTTACTTTTCCACATGATATTTCTTTTCTTTCTACTACACTTTTTATGAAATATGTCCTTGCTTTTCTTTGATCAGAATTTATCAATTTGCCTTCTCTGCACAAAGATGTTCCTTTTCCATATCTTCTTGCATTCAGAAGTCATTTTCTAAACATTCTTAAAATCAACATCTCTGGCACTAGTCTGAATGCTGAATTTTCTGTGCAGTGCAGTTATTAGTAAACTGTTCCATATATTCCGCATATGCATATAACCCCAGACACCAGTACAGGCTGGGGACCGACCTTGTGGAGAGCAGCTCTGCGGAGAAGGACCTGGGTGTCATGGTGGATGACAAGTTGACCATGAGGCAGCAATGTGCCCTCGTGGCCAAGAAGGCCAATGGGATCCTGGGGTGCGTTAAGAAGAGTGTCTCCAGCAGGTCGAGGGAGGTGATCCTGCCCCTCTACTCAGCCCTGCTGAGGCCACATCTGGAGTATTGTGTCCAGTTCTGGGCTCCACAGTACAAGGGGGATGTGGAGCTGTTGGAGAGAGTCCAGCGCAGGGCCACAAGGATGATCAGGGGCCTGGAACATCTGCCCTATGAGGAGAGGCTGAGGGAGCTGGGCCTGTTCAGCCTGGAGAAGAGAAGGCTGAGAGGAGATCTAATCAGTGTCTATGAGTACCTCAAGGGAGGCAGTGAGGAGGATGGTGCTGGCCTCTTTTCAGTGGTGGCCACTGACAGAACTAGAGGAAATGGCCACAAATTGAAACATCAAAAGTTCCACAGGAACTTAAGGAAAAACTTCTTAACAGGTGTGCAGGGGGGTTGGACTAGATGATCTCTAGAGGTCCCTTCCAACCTTAACAATTCTGTGATTCTATGATTCGCAGAAGAGAGAAAAAGCAAATATTTAGCTAATATGTGTTAGTGTTGAAGTCCCAGTCCAGTTTTATGCGTGCATGCACTTAACTTCATCCTAAGCATTTCAAAATGAAATATATAAGCAAATGATTGACAAAATGATTGTCAAGCTACAAATATATCCTTTTGTATCCTCCTCAGACAATTCTGCCAGTAGTAAAGTTTGATAAATAATCACAGTGCTTGTGCTTGTTGGTGGGCAGGTGAGTGTGAAAAGAAATTCTCAGAACAACTGTCCAAAGTTATCTTGAGCTGGGCGAACACACACTTGCTAGAGCATTGACAAGGAGCACTTCTACGTCTAGCATATCTCTCACAAGCTCTTTATATGGTATTTATCCTTTTTTTTTGGCACACTACTTGCAGGACGGGTGACAGATACTGTCTACTGTTCCGCCCCCCACATTGCAGAACATTCACTGGAAGCAATTTTGGAAGGGAGAAACCCATCCACTCATAGGAGATATTTTTAGGGACCTTTAGAAAGAGAAAAAAAAAGTGTTTGTGAGTATGTAGGTGGAGAAGGATAAAGAATCAAAGAAGGTTTTTTTTAAGTTTGTCATCATGGGCAATAGGGAAGGATGGCGAAGCTGAGATGGGCCATGTCAAAGGAAATAACAATGACCTTTTGTTTTGAAATGACAATATAGCAAATAATTCTGTTTAATCTCATGATAGCCAAGAAAATGTAGCTTCAGAACATTCTGGATCAGGATGAACTGTATTCAATAACAAACCCTTCCGTGACAGTAACTCCCCCTTGATTTGCAGTTAATCATATGTTATATAGTGTTTTAGAATAGTTTGAACAGAGGTATAATTAGCTGCCATAGTCATATTACAGAGAGGCAAGTGCATAGTTATATAAGGCTATAGTTATATAGTGTGTATATGTATATATATATATATTTACACACACTATATATATAGTTATATAGTGTATATATATGTTATAGGAGCTATATAGTAGCTATAGGATGCAGTTATTGTACTTAGGCTAGCTATAGTATGTACTTATATAAGGGCATAGTTATATAAGGGTACAAGAATCTTTTCAAGGTTTTCCTAAGTGGCATTTTTGCAGTTATATATGCGTATCTATTGTCTGCAACAAACATGGCTAATAGCATCTGTAGCTTGTGCTATAAATGACACCAACCAGATGAATATATGAAAGAGATAGCAGTTGGGTTTTTTTCTATGTTTTTGGCATATACCATTTGCAATTAGTTTTGTTGTACTCCAAAGAAGAAAAAAAGAGGCAGATATGCTAGAAATATTTTTAAAAGAGCAACAAAAGAAAGTAGAGAGGAAAAACAAAAGTATAAACATAACTTCATTATGTGCTGGTTAAGCTAATGTCTAACATCTGAGAAAGGATGATATTTGTTGAAATAGAGTCTACAAATATTGGTATAAGCTTATTATTCTAGTGAGTTACTATTTACCTTTAAATAAAGAAAGGAAGAAGAACGTATTCCTGGGAAGTAAGACAAAGTTTTGAAACTGGAAGTTTAGGTCATTGGTTTCAAGAAATGGCTGGGCATATACGTAAATGTGGTAGCTGCTCTACTCTGATTGTCATATTTAAGTCAAATATTTTGTATATCTATAAAATGTTTTAGACCCTGTTGAAGAAGCCGCTCCAAGCATTTGGCTTAGAAGCTTTGCAGACTTCACACGCCATGTCAGTATAGTCTGTACGTGTCAGCTGAAGAGCTTGGGGATGAGGGTGCACAGTGGTGAGCAAGGATGGAGCTCTGGGCTGGTGTCCGAAGGCCGCTCTCTGCCTGTGGCAGCGCCTGTTGTTCTGTCAGGGAGCAGGGCTGGTGTCTGAAGGTCCCTCTCTGCCTGTGGCAGCGCCTGTTGTTCTGTCAGGGAGCAGGGCTGGTGTCTGAAGGCCGCTCTCTGCCTGTGGCAGCGCCTGTTGTTCTGTCAGGTAGCAGCACGCGGGGAATGGGACTGTGCCCGTGGTCAGTGAGAGCCAAGCAACCACCAGACAAATCTGAAGTGAGGAGGATCCGGGGTGCGCACGAGGATCACTGCGCCATGCGGCTGGGTGCAGACGTACCTGAGTGCTGCGTGTGGGCAAGAACCGCGGTGAGAGGCCCTGGTGAAGCTTCTCACCGTTCTTTTTCCTCTAAGTCTTTTCACAGCAGTCCAGTCCCAGGTTCCAGCTGCACCATGTTACAGCTAGCCTTGAATATAGGCAGCCAGACCCCTGGTTGCACAGTGTTGATGCACTCAGAGCCCTGATAGTTATGTTTATAAAAGCTGTAAATACAGGCAGTTATGCCTTAAAAAGAGGGTGGGTGTTTTCTGTCCGCATTTTAATTTTTGCTCTCAGGGGATGATTCCAGGCTGTACATCCCAGGTGGGCAGAAACCTCTCAAAGCAGCAATTTTCAATCCCATTTCCAACACCATCATTTCCACTTGGTTACCTCTGGGTGACTCCCTGCTGGGAGTGGTTGTTACCAGGCTAGTTCTTCAGACCCAGCACAAGATACCATCCTAATATAAGGTTATGGATCCCACCTGAGGATATGATACCTAGTATTGAATTTTTATATTGTTTTAAAAATGTGCTTCTTGGCTTCCTCTGTCTGATAGAACTGAAAAGAAAAATGCTTAATTTCAACACAAGACATTATTCTTCTACAACATAACAACCATCTCAGTGATTACAAGACCACAAAGCAATCCTGAGCTGGTTAAGAAACTGCAGCCTAGAAAAGAGATAATTCAAGGGAGAAATGGTAGTCTACAAAATCACAGAGGGAGCAGGCACAGACTGACTGTTCATCTCTCCAAGTACAGAAGCTAGACGCTACTGATCATGGCTAGTAGGAGCCAGATTCAAAACCTTCAACACCTTGTCTCCAGGCTAACTGGCTGGAAGGCAGCTTTGCAGAGAAGAACATGGGGATCCTGAGGGACAACCAGGTGACCATGAGCCAGAAATGTGTCCTTGTGCCAAAGAAGGCCTAGGGTATCCTGGGCTGCAGTAGAACGCTGAGGCTGAAAAGATGTCTGGATATTCAAAAGATATCTGGATAGGGTCTTGAACAAGATGCTTGAACAGGGGGGTTGGACTAGATGCTCTCCAGAGGTCCCTTCAACCTCAACCATTCCGTGATCCTGTGATTTTGAGTATGGCCCTTAGACTAAGCTAGGCTGGCCTTTCTTGTGCTCTTCACAAGAAAAGAGAATCCTTTCACTTGCATGATTATACATGCTTAGTTTAAGTGCTGCAAAATCAGACTCAGCAAAAATAAAGTTTTTCACTCCATTATTATTATCACTTTTTAAATAGAAGAAAAAAATCAGGATTCTACAAGCTGTCCAAGCCAGCATCAAGCACCGGTGGCAGGTCAGGTTTGATGCAGGCCAACTTATTCATAAAGAATGCTCAAATTTTGAGTTCCCAAATTATAGATTCCTGTTGAAATTACGGCTCCTCATTTAGAACAAACTTTGGTTCAGATAATTAATTTTGACTGAACTAGCTTTATGGAAGGAAAAAACACTGTCTAGAACAGAAGTCATCTTCGTAGCTTAATCTAAATATTAGGTTAAAGATGTAAGACCCTAATTAATACCCCCAAGAAAAGCTTTGCTAAGATGATGCCCACTGAACACTTGTTTCTGAACATGAATTAGAGAATCTTTAATCACATCAGACTATGGCTTTAGGGTGACTTTAAATCAGTCACAGTGTTTCTTTCTCATTATGATCTTACTGATTGCTACTGAGATGAACAAAACCTTCACTAAAAGCTATATCTAATTTTGAAGACTTATTTTTATACCATGACTAAAAGCTACATTGTAATGATATTGGCTTTGAAAATAGGTTTTGCTTAGCTAAAAAGAAGGAGGAGGATAGTGTTTTATTCTTTATTAGAATCAGAAAGCATTTAGTTAATATCATGGTTTATTAAAAGTGGGTTAGGATAATTGAGGCATCTCTGCAATATTTTTTCCCTAAATTCTTGACATAAACTCTCAGCACTGGTAAGCCCTCCGTG